AATTTGGGATCAACACTTGATTATAAAAATTGTCCTGTCCTCCAAAGCTTCAAGCATCATTTCTGAGTAATTTAAATTACATTATCACTGTTGGGAAGAAAATTATTTTTATGAAACGTCATTTTTTTAATTATCTCCATAGTGAATCACCTCCAAAACTTTAAGGACTCATTTCTTTAGCTGTATGCCGTACGATAACCTATGCCCTATTTCTTTTCCTCCAATTGTGTAATAATTTTTTATCTTTTTCAGTATTTAGAAATTGTTGTAACACCAAATGAAATATCTCAAACGATATTCTGTTCAAATCATTTTAGCATAGTTATAAATTTTTTACCAGTAGAGCGGGGGTAAAATTACATTTTCTAATATAAAAAGTAAGTAATCTTTACAATTTTGCCTTTGAAAATATTTCCTTCGTCCTTTTTTTGGCCTATTACAGCAGCAGACTTTTTAAGTTTTCTAAAAATGAATTCTATCTCTATTTTTCATTTTCGTTCAAAAATGACCAAAAATGTTTGATATTGCAGCATAGCGCTTCCAGCTATATAAATAATCGTAAACATCAAGTTAATTTTTATTTTCAAATTTTATAACTTTTTTTAAAGAAATCCGAGGAGATTTATAAACATATTTACATACTTGTAAAAAAATTGCAAAGCAATACTTGCAATTTTTAAAAAGTTTCAAATAAATGTGAAATCAAATTTTGTCACCTTTCCTGGACGTTCTAACCAATTTAGAAAACTGCCTTTGGTTTAAAGGTGAATATGGATTGAAATTATTATTTATATTTTTAATGAACGAAATATTATATTTAGGGTGAAATATGTTCAACTAGTTTTGAAGAAATAAACTTCAGAAAGGGCCAAGGGAGTACTTAAAAGTATACATTGCACCTTTTAAGAAACAAACATGTTTTACTTTATATAAAAATCTTTAAAAAAAAAATTTAAGAAAACTTGGCTAAAAGGTTGCAAAGATAGTATTTTTCAAATAAGAAGCTAAATTTTTGTCACTCTTCAAAGCATGATCAGACTTTCAAGATGGATCAATTTTAAAGTAAAGAGTGCCTTTTTTTCATTTAGTAAACTAATAAAAACATAACATTCAATTACTAACGCCTAAATAAACAAATATTTAAACGTATAATCTCCCTATCCTTATCAAAACGTATGTACATTACAAAAAAAAAATTATTATATTTTAAAAAAAAGCGTGGTTAGAAGGGAATTAAAATTGCATTTTTTAAATACTATGTTAAATTTGTAAGACATTTCAATAAGACATTTTATGGTGGCTCAATCTTAAAGAAAAATAACAAACTTAATTAATTTTTTTGTAATGTTGATTATTTAAGAATGTTATAAGAAAAACTAGATTGTTTCAAAATTTTTATAGTTAATAAACTAAACAAATATTTTAAACATTCAATAGCTATAAATAAATATCTGAGTGGAAAAAAACGAACTATTCAGAATAATTCTGAACTGATGATCAGATTTTTATCTACTAGTACTCTAATGGTTTGAAGGAGTGACCTCAAATATGCTGTTTAATTTGTGCAGACTATATTTTAATTTGCAAAATCAACTACAAAAAACGACTTTCTCCGAATGAAAAATCGTTGTTTCGATGGATTTAGAATTCTTACCCTCAAAATAGAGGGGATAACCTGGTTGTTAAGTGGATACAAAATTCTTTTAGTGAAAATCAAATTTGTAAATATCTCATTTTATTTTATTTTTATAACCGTCGTTGAACAGCCGACCCAATTTTATGAGTTTACGACTACTTACGTTCAACTCCGTAGCCTTGTAATTTTGAACCAATCCAGAAGACAAGGAAACTCCTGGATCAGTACCCCCAGAGGTATTGATTTGTTGTGGGAACATGGAGGACTT